AAGAGTACTCAGCCAGTAGGAGAAGCCATCAGATGCTGCCCTTGAAACAGATGACTGTCCCCCAATTAGCTCCGGTACAATGACTGTTTATTCCTTTCACTTTCTATCGACGCCTCCTCCGTTATTCAACATTTAGCCCGTAGAATCCTTCAACACTGAAACTTGGGGCTTGAGTTGCTTCTTCAATTCATTCAGCTTGAGAAATGCTCATTGTGTTCTACCTTTCTGGTTTCCTAACTCCAGGTCTTGGCACATTCCAGTGTAATACTTTACTTTGCTTTCTCAAGCTTCCCTTAGGAATCTTCTGCTCAACAGTCTTATTTAATGATTTCTCCCGTTTATTTTAGTTACTCTATGCTCAAGAACAAGTTTCAGAGTTTCTTATAATATCCATTTTGGTGTTTTCTTTATTTCCTTTATTTTTAACGACATTTTCCTTTCTTTGGGTACAATCTTCTTGATATCATTCCAACAACTCCTCTGTCTTTGGTCACTAATGTTCAACGCATCAAATCTGTTCTTGAGATATTCTCTAAACTCAGCTGGGTTAGATATACACAAGGTGGTATTTGGGCTCTCACGTTGTTAGGCACTGTCAAGTCAGCTGTGACTCGGTGACCCTATGCCCAGCAGAAGGAAATCCTGCCCAGTCCGGTGCCATCCTTACAGTCATCATCAGTGTGAGTCCATTATGTTAGCAACTGTGTACCTGTGGCTCTCAATCTGTTCTATAGTGGTAGCTTGTGTGTTGCTGTGCTGCTGGAAGCTATCGAACCTGCATTTTAAATACCAGCAGGTTGGTGAACCAAGTAAATAGGTTTCAGCAGAGCTTAGACTCAGAACAAACTGAAGAAGGAGTAAGCTACCCACTCCATAGATTAGTCAATGTGATTCCTGTATTATTTACAGTTGCTCTTTGTCTTCTGGGAATAAGGTACTTGCAATGAAGAAGTCGTTGGTCTTGCAAAAGTCTATCATGTTATCTCCAGCTTCAAGTCTATCACCAAGGCCATATTTCCAACCGCTGTTCTTTCTTCTTTGTTTACAACTTTTGCATTTCAATTGCCAATATGTATCTTGCATCTCCTTTGCAGGTGTGATCAAATTCAGACCGAAGAATCTTCCATTTCTTCATCATTGGCTTTAGTGGTTGGTGCGTAAATTTGAGTAGGAGCTGGTGGCTAGAAACAAATCTAGTGACTGCTTCTTGGGGATAGAGTTTCTGCCTGGGGGGGTGTTGAAAATTTTTTCAAACAAATAATGGCGATGGCTGTATAATCTCGTGAATGTGACTATTGCTGCAGGATTGTACGCTTGAAAATGTTTCACTTTTTAATGTCCTATTTTGATCCAACACAAGAAAGAAAAAGAGACTGCATCGTCATGTGTAACAACATAGATGAATCTTAGGACCGTACTACTACTGATTGGAGGGGGGGGGGGAGCAGCAGAAAATTCTACATAAACTATCGTTTTATTAAAGCTCACAAGTAAAGCTAAGCATATATTGCTTAGAAATGCATACATGTACACCTATTAGTTTTAAGAAGCAAGTGAGTGATAGATTACAATTCAGGATGGTGGTTACCTCTGATGAGAGCTGAGGGGCGAAAGCAGCGCTGGGACTCAGCCAGTTTCCACGAGTTCGGCTGAACCAACACCTAATTTTTTTGGTTGAGTTCATCAGTCAAGTGGATAAAATGGCACTTGTAATCAGGGTTCTCACTAAGGTGGGTGGTGCCCATAGTAATAATGCTCATTCTGTCCATAGCGATAAGGAATTAGATAGAATTATGCTTGTTACATTTATTTATTCACTTCATAAAACTCTTTATACTTTGGATGAAATACTACATTTTTATCCCCTTGAGTTTGTTACTTCAGTAAACAAACATATAACAGTAACAACAGAGGGCGACATGCTGTCATTCACTCCAGTTTTGTGTTGTGACCCAAATTCCCACAAGATATTGTGGATGAATTATGCAATTCCTGAAAGTGTTCAAAGAGCTAAAAGTATTGTCACAACAATCGCTCTAAGTTCAGCAGAAACAGAAAGGGATCTTTCAAAGATGAACATAGTATATTTAGAGAAGTCAACTAACGGTTTCTAATGTACCAAACACAATAACTATTGGCTGATTGGCCCACCTCTAAAGGAATGAGATTCTACTCCTACAGTGAAAAGATGATTAAGGATAAATCACACAGCTGATGAGGCTTGGATAAAAGAGAAGAATACTGCAAGTCAGGACACCAATCAAGAAGCAATATGGAAATATCACCAATAACATTTTTATTGTTTTTTGTCAAGTATTTAATATTTTCAATATTTTAAAACTCTTATATAATCTAGTTTTGTGTATCTCTTTTATTGTTCTGTTTTAATTATTAACTGTATGAAATAATACTCTTTCCATATATCTTTTTTTTACACTTAAAATAGTCATTAGGGGAATGTGGCAGTTACATAATCTGTCGACTTGAGTGAAGGAGTGGAGTCTAGCCTGTCAATCAGGTCATAGCCAGTGGTGCCTCTGTGTCAGCATGGCCTTCTCCTGAGGATTCTGGGAACTCCTGTCTTACTCCCTAGAGGCAGGACACATACTTTGAGAGACATTCCTGTTGACAAGTCACATGGAGCTACACTGATGGAGCCAGAGTCCTGGAGCTGTAGGAGCACATGGAGACCCACATCAGCACTGAGATGCTTCTACTGCCACTGGATCCACAAGACTTCCACCCACTGGCCTGTGATCTTCCCATATTTGGCATCATTGTTGCATGAGTCTGAAGAGGAATTTATAGACTGGTATAGGACATATGGGCTAATAGCATACTCATGGACTTCATCTGGACTAGGCTGGGATGTTTTCTCAATATACAATTGCTCTTTTATATAAAGCTCTTTCTTATACACATGAGTGTCTGTGAATTTGTATCTCTAGCCAACCCTGACTAACACAGGCAGCGAACGGGTTGTTAAATTATTTGATTCACACCACTGGGCAAAAGATGAGTCAAATCACTCAATCTGAGGTTATTAAACTTTCCCAAGCCTTGGTATCTCACTTTCTGAAATGGGGGTGATGCATTAGAATCAGGACTTGCTTAAAAGTGTTGTGAGGAAACTAAACGCGATACTGCATTGGACCCAGAGTATGCAGTCCGTCGTAAATTAGAAATTAAGGTTGGCTCCTTTCATCAGTCATAACAACCCTGAAGGGGAAAAGGTCAGCAATTCCTTCTACCCACTCTCTTCCCCTCTCCCACCTCCTTCCACAATCACAGACGTCATCTACTTCCAGAGCATCTGCTTTCTCAGAGAAGCCTTTCTTGAACTCTTTTTCTTCTTTTAAATTGGTTAGGACCACCTTTTATTCATAAAGCAGATGTAACTATAACAGTACCTCACCTTTTTTTCTTTTCTTTTTATTTAATTAATCATTTTACTGGGGGGCACTTACAAATCTTCTAACAATCCATCATTCAGAACTCTCTTTTTCTAACATGTCAGAACACCCAATCTGGCCTTCTGTTTCATTCATCTAGCCTGCTGTCCCAGCACTGTGAGTCTGCTGACGTTGCAAACTACTCTGCAGACGTACTTATTCCTCAATGTACTTTGGAAAAGCACTCAGAAAATGTTCTTCCTTCTCCCAATACCTCCGTGAGGAAGGTATTCATATCATCCCTGTTTGACCATTCAGAAAACCAAGGCCACGACTCCTGTTTTCAAAAATGAATCCACTTTAAAAACTCAAACTCCAAATGCTGTCAGCAAGCCAATTCTGACAAAAAGTGACCTTATTAGGCAGAGTAGAACGGCCCTGGGGGTTCTGAGGCTGTGAATCTTGATGGACACAGAAAGCCTCTTCTGTCTCCTTCGGAGCAGCTGGTGGTTTCAAACCGCTGGCCTTGTGGTTACTAGCCCACTGTGAAACACACTGCACCACCAGGGTTCCTGAGTCCATTCCAGAAGATGTTAAACTGTATGTAGGTGATTTTAGACACTGAGTCCGTCCCGAAGGGTGTTTGGAGACTCCCAACTGAGACAAGGTAGTTGGTCCATTTACCAACGGTGAGGCCAGGGCTGGATGCTATATCTACGTGGGAAGAGCTTGTTTTAAAGTACGAGGGAGCTTCAAAGGCTCTATGATCTTTTCATTCCATTTTCCCAGGAGTCTTTGAAGCCCCCTCAGACAAGGCTCACCACTGAGCAGCTCATTTATAAGTTAACTGAAATGGCATGAACTATTTAGTGTATGTGAGGGGAAAAATCAGAGGTTCTGCCAGAGAGGCCTTTTGCAGAAATGGTGGAAACATTAACTCACGCCCAATCAAAGTCAGTGATTCCTGCTTGGCGACCTCTCTGTGCCTTTCTCGGCTGCCCTCCTTAAGGAAGCACGCCGCCAGCCTTTCTTCCGAGTGCTGCTGGATGGTTAGTAATAGATGCCAAAGGGCTTGCACCGCCCAGGGATTTCTTTCTTTTTTTTTTAGGGACTTCTTTTTTAATTAAATTTTTTTTAATTTTATCGACCAGGGACTTCTAAGGCACAAAATAAAGTCTCAAAAAAACAAACACTGCCAGCCAGTTGATTCCGATTCATAGCGACCCAATAGGCCACGGTAGACCTGCCCCTGGGGGTTTCCGAGTTTGTAACACTTTATGGAAGTAGGAAGCCTCATCTTTCTCCCACAGAGCGGCTAGTGGTTTCGAACTAACTTCATAGCCTAACATGTAACCCATCACACCACTATCAGCAGCAGATATGGTCCAATCTAGATTCCCACCTGGGTTTTTTTGGTCGAAGCGCCAAAGAAGAAGACAAGGAGTAGTTTCCCCAAGCAATCAACCCCGCAGAAGCCATTGCGGGAAGCGTCCTCCAGGGTTGAGCCAAGGAGCCCCAAAAGGCGGGAAGTCGGTGGAGCTTGCAGACAAGCCCCGCCCCGACGAGGCCCCGCCCCACATAGGCCCCGCCCCGGTAGCTGGCCCTGCCCCGCCCCCCTCGCCCGCCGCGCGCTAGCTCTGCGGACTGAAGATGGCGGCCGCCGCGGGAAGGTTACTCCGGTCCTCGGTGAGTGGCAGTCGGCGGGGGGGCAGGCGGGGAGACCCCGCCGTGGCTCTGGGCACGTGCTTTCCGGACGTGTCCCGCTCTCCCGCGGCCTCGGAGACAGTCACCCTTCTCCAAGGGGTCAGCGGGTAACAGGCCTCCGGGGAGGGCTTCCATGCGCCTGCGCAGACGCCCCTCGCCGCCCACCCCTTGCCCTCCGCGGGTCCCTCCGCAGCCGCTCGCCCTACAGTCGCCGATCGTCCACCCCTGCTCCCTTGTCCGCCCAAGCACCTGACCCTGCAGGCGGGCGCCTGGGCTCCCGGGCCCGGTTCTGTAGCTGGCTGGGCCTTGGACAGTGACTTCGCCTTTCGGAACCTCAGTTTACTTTCCATATAAGTTGAAAAGAACGATGTCCAGTGCGGGATTGCTGAGATCCCCCGCTTAAGCAGACGGAAACATGCAGCGTAAAGTAACGGAGACGCGGCTGCCCGTCCCCACCCCGATCCTCTCAGGCTGGCTTAGCTGTTGTTTCTCAGCTAGTCTCGGGCAAAGCTTGCCATCCCGACCCCTTTGTTGCGGTGGGTTTCTGCACAGATCCGTTCTCCTTCGAGAGTGACTCGCTTAGTTGGACATGGAAATTGAACAAACGCTTCCCTGGAACCCAATGCAAGCTTGCCCAGAGGCTGCACTTTGCCCCACTAGTCTGCTTGTGCTTGGGGCCAGAAGGACCTCCTCTTTCCTGGGTAAACAGACAAGGACATGCTCTGCTGATAGTGCTGGTAAAAGGCAGAAATACACTGGTTCTGCCAACTGCCCCCACCCCCACGTTTATTTCAGACCCTGTCGTTTTGGTTTTGAGCCCCTCTGCCTTGCATTCTGGGAGCAGAAGGCAGCACAGAGACAAGCTCCGTACTTGGGGGGTTGGTATTTAGTTCTAGGACAGCTATGGCCACCATGCGCATTAGCAATGCCCTCTGAGACCAAGAAACACACACACACCACCACCACCCACCCCCAGAAACATTTCCTAAAAGAAATTGGTTCTCTTTCCAGGTGGCCAGACATATCAGACATATCAGTGCCATCCCATGGGGCTTGTCTGCCTCCCCGGCCTGTAGGCCCACCACCTCTGGAAGAAAGTTTTTGACAAATGTGTTGTGGGCTGAGTCCCTGCAAGCAAGATGCGCCTTCAGCACCAGTAAGTATTTCCATGTCTTAGTTGACCCCCCTGGTCAGGGAAACCTGAAATCATCATCATCTCTGGACCAGGGAGGAGCCCGGCTGCATTAGGCCTACCTGGGGAGCTTTTGTAGAAAGTCTCACTGGAAATGGGTTTCTAGGGGTGAGACCTGGCATTTGTTTTGTTCTGTGTTTTCCTATAGCTCCCTGTGCCCCAGTGATTGTAGTGGCAGCCACAGTTGAAAATCACTGGGGTGCTCTGTTCATGTCACATTCTCTTGTTGGTTTGCCAGACTTTTCTGGGTCCTCTGTGTGAAGGAATAGTGGTTAAGCGCTTGGCTGCTAACCAAAAAGTTGGCAGTTCAAACCCACCCAGTGGCTCCACGGGAGAAAAGCCCAGCAATCTGCTTCCTTCACTCTGACAGCCTGGAATAAACCCTATGGGGCACTGTCCATGGGGCCACCGTGGGTTGAAAACCGACTTGTTGACACCTAACAACAACACATTAAGGGGCCTGCATGGATCTGAACTTGATACGTGTGTAAGGGTGTCTGATACCTGAGTGTGTTGAGCAGCACCTCTAAAGGGGGTTAGTCACAGCCAACCCAGGCTGCTGGCTGCAGGATGACCCTAAGGAGCCTGACCACCCACCCTGCTACACTGAGAATTGCAGCTGTTTCTTAAAGTAATGTCCACACCCATCTTTTTTTTTTTTTTATGCCCATGTTTTAGGATGTGGGCTCTGCTGCCATCTGGTTCTGATCAGGAGTCCTGTTTGAAACGGACTGCTTTTAATTGATCTGGCCTTTGAGGAAGCCCGGGTTTACAATGTAACTGTTTAGCCTGGGGTTGTGGAAGCTACAAAGTATCCAGTTTTTGCTCCCTCAAAGCTCTAAAGGCTTCCAGGTCCAGCCAGACCTTGTTTCCGCTCACCATGCTTTGATGTGGTTCACATGCAGTGTATTTTGTTCTTCAACAAAATCGCAGGTTTGTGGCGACCCTGCGCTGAACAAGCAGGCGGGCTCCACTTTCCCGGCAGCATGTGCTTGCTTTGTATCTCTGGTGCCGGGATTGTTGCCAAAGGTAGTTCAGACTCTTTACAATGTTACCATTACACACCTAATAGATGTGTAAGCATATGTTTCCTCTGCACTGAGAAACCAGAAAGCTCTCCTGTTTGTGTTCCCGGCTGCCCCACCAATGAAACTGGTACTGGTACCCTTTGTCCCCCAGGGCCAGGCAGACCCAAGTTCTCTCCAGTTTTTGCCTCATTCTTCATCGCTTTCTCTCATCTTCGCAGGCACACCCCAACCTTTGGTCCCCCTCACAGAGATAACTGGAATCATCTCCCCCATCAGGCTCACCTCCCCTCTGGGACCTCTCGCTCCCCTGCCAGCCTAATCTGCTGAAACACAGCTGTCTTGTATTAGGTTCCCACTTAAGCCCCTCCCTGGTGCTTGGGGCCCTCTCAGCGTGGCCTTGGCTCCGTCCTTGCCTGCTTTGCAATCCTGCAGCTGGGCCCACACTCCTTCCCTCAGACCTTGCCGTGAACTGGGCACAGCATGACCTTTTTGTATTCCGGGGGCCACTTGCTCTGCCCCCCCTGGCCCTGGCAAACCTGTGCTACATTCAGAATTTCTCCCAGCCTCCTCCCATACCTACCGCATTCTGCCTCACTCCTTTTAGATTCTGTGGCACTTTGAATGAAATCAGTATGCATCCTAGCAGTCTGGACAGGAAGCAATTACTGTATCAAGGATATGCAATTGAGCTCTGAGCCATTTGACTTGATTTATGTGGTGGCTGACAAGTCCGTTCTGACTCACAGTGACCCTGGAGGACAGGGCAGAACTGCCCCAGTGTGGTTTCAAGGCTGTCGTTACAGAAGCAGACTGCCCGGCTTTCTCAACTCAGAGCCGCTGGTGGGTTTGAACACACAGCTAGCCACTGAACCAATACAACCCAGGGCCCCTGTTAATCACTGATCCTCATGAATGATGGTGCGGGGTTTAAGTGGAACCAGGTGGGCGCTGGATTCCACACGTGGTGATCAGTGCCCGGATGTGGCTTTTGCAGGTTCCTCGTACCTCGCCCCTGCCGTCACGCAGCATGCCCCCTATTTTAAGGGAACAGCCGTCGTCGGCGGAGAGTTCAAAGAGTTGAGCCTCGATGACTTTAGGGGGAAATACTTGGTGCTTTTCTTCTACCCTTTGGACTTGTAAGTATTGCTGCTTCATCATTGCTCTGTGCCCTGCTTCCCGCTGGGACCACCTGCCTCTGCTTAACCTCCCATCCAGGGAAGGGTTCTTGTGACCCTTCACCGCTGGTGGCTGGCCTTGTGGACTGGCCACAGGTGGCCTCAGTAGCTTACTCACAAGTGGTAAAGGTAGAGGGTGGAGCTACTCACCTTTCACTGATTGGGTTTGAATCTGGCTGCCTCTGATGAGGCTCCCACACATTAGCCTAAGAGAAGTTTTCCCTGGTCTCAGAGGAAATTGAGAAAAGAATAAATGTGATTTTTTGGGGGGTGGGGGGATTTCCCCCCCCCTCAAATTTAAATTTATATAAATTTCACTTTAGTCTTAGAATCTGCATACTTCCCCTCCCTCATTGATAGTCTTAGGTGAAAGGTGAATGGAAAACACACTGCCATCCAGTCATTGCTGGCTCATGACCACCCGCTGTGGGTTTCAGAGACTGTAAATCCTTCCGGGGGGTGCAGCCCCCACCCCCGTCTCTCCCTCAGAGCAGCTGGTGGTTTTGAGCTACTTACCTTATGGTTAGCACCCCAACTCGTAAGCCACCAGAACTCCCCGGTAATGGAAAGAGTCCTTTTTACACCCGTGTGAAACTAGCCAACCACGGAGGGAGGGCGGCTTTGTCACCCTGCTGCTTCTGGACCTTTCGTGCCTGTCATTAAGTCATTTTTTGTTTCTGTGGTTTGGGTTTTTTAATCGTCACTTTAAAAGTCTCTTGGTAAGAATGTCTGCCCTCCCCCCCCCCCCCCAGCACCTTTGTGTGCCCCACAGAAATCGTCGCTTTCAGTGACAAAGCCAACGAATTTCACGACGTCAACTGCGAGGTGGTGGCCGTCTCGGTGGATTCGCACTTTAGCCACCTGGCCTGGATCAACACCCCTCGGAAGGTACGGCGTCGCCCTTTGCTGTGTGCACCCCGAGACCAGAGTGGACCAGGTAGCCACTGCTTCTCAGGGCACTCGGCGGCCATGGAGAGCCCACAGGGAGCACAGGGGACCCCTCCCCCACTGTATTCCACATGCTGCCTGGATTGGGGGGCAGTGATGTGGGGTGCTAGGTGCTCTCACCCCTCTGCTCTGCCTAGTTATGATATTCTTCCCTAAAAACCTTCTTCTGACCCTCAAATGACTGGCTATGCTGCTGGACTCTCCTCGATTATTCAAAGCGTCTTGGGTTACTCTTCGGTTTCTGTGCTTTAGAATCAATCTTTAAAAGGCTCTAGACTGGGGGATGGACACCAGAAAAGTGGGTGAAGGGAGATGTCGGACAGTGTAAGACATGACGAAATAATAATTTACAAATTATCAAGGGTTCATGGGAGGGGATGAGCTGATACCCAGCTCAAGTAGAAAGCAAATGTTTTGAGAATGATGAGGGTAACAAATGTACAAATGTGCCTGGCAAAAAAAAAAAAAAGGCTCCGTGGTTCTCAACCTTCCTAATGCTATGACCCTTTAATACGGTTCCTCATGTTGTGGTGACCCCCAACCATAAAATTAATTATGTTGCTACTTCATAACTGTAATTCTGCTACTGTTATGAATTGGGCGACCCCTATGAAAGAGTCGTTTGAACCCCCAAAAGGGTCGAGACCCACAGGTTGAGAACCGCTGCTCTAGAATTGGAAACAGGTCATGGTGTTCCTGGGTGCTGTGGAGTCACTCCTACTCAGAGCTACCCTATGGACCATAGCACAGGGCCCTGCCCAGCCCTGTGGTGACAAACCCATTGTCTTCCAGGCGAGTCCCACCCATAGCCATCCTGTGGGAGACGGCATGAAACAGTCCTGTAGGAAACCCACTGCCATCAAGTCAATTCCAACCCATAGCAGCCCTGTCTAGGGTTCCTTAGGCTTTGCAAATCTTTATGGGGGTAGATAACCTCATTTTCGCCCCCAAGGAGTCGCTGGTGGATTTGAACCACCGACCCTGTGGTTAGCAGCCCAAGAGTGCCACCGGTGCTCCTCCCTGTAGTCTAGCTGCCTCTGCCCGCTCTCTAGCTGTGAGCTGGGGCCAGTTAGAGAGCCTCTGGCGTGCCTCAGCTTGCTTATCTGTGAAAAAATGAAAACAATACGGCTGTCTCTACGGTTAGGTGGCTGCCCAGACAATGAGTCCGTAGAAAGAGCTCAGCATATTTCCTGACCCGATGTCCATTTGTGACCAATGGCCACTGTTAGGGGTCTTGAACATTGTGATTCGTGGCCAGGGAAGTGAAGCCACGTGGTGTAACCAGCCGGCCTCTTTGCATTTTCATTAGAACGGCGGTCTGGGCCACATGAACATCCCGCTCCTGTCGGATTTTACAAAGCAGATTTCCCGGGACTACGGCGTGCTCTTAGAAAGCCCCGGCCTGGCCCTGAGGTAAGAGCCACTGGATGTGGACCTTCAAGCTGGTTTTCATGTTGAGCATCATCCTACTTCCTAGGGGATTTATATGGGCTTTGGGAAATCATTAAAAACAAAACAAAAAAAACCTTAATTGTAATCTCCTTCAGGGGTAGCCAGACTTTCAGAAATGCTTCTGGCGGTGGCCCTTCCACCAACCCGCTTCTGCCTCCTTGCTGATGCTCCTTCCTGAGCCGCTCTGCCCACAGCAAGGCCATCAGACTAGGAGAGGCGGAGCCCTGGATCAAACTGACAGACCTGGGTTAGATTTTTCAAAAACAAAACTGCTGCTTAGTAGATGGGTGTATGAACAGGTTATGTGACCGCTTTGAGAGTCTTCTCCCTCCCACCCTGCCTCACTTTCCCACAGCTAAAGCAAGGGCCGATTGTGAGTCCTGAGACCTGCTGGCTTCTGTATCTCCCCTACCCCGTTGTCACTTCAGCCCCCACTCCCTCCTGTGCTAACCCTTCATTCCACTGTGTGAAGTACATCGAGTCTTCAGCGGCCTCGTGTCCAATTGCACCCTTCCAGGGCCGCCTGGAACCCAGTCCTCAGAGCTGGCAGCTTCTTGGCCACTGAGAGCAGAGGGGGAGGGCCAGCTGGGTTGGCTTCCCAGGTTTGCAGGGACTGGTGGAGTAAGCCAGCTCACCTGACCTTTCTTGTGGCGGAGCACTGGCTACGCTGTTCTTGGCTTCCACCTGGAATTTAGGTGCTCGGTGGGACTTAAAACGTGGATCTTTTGACTCCAAGAAGTTGACAGGATTCCTTTGGTCCATTGACACCAGAGGAAAGACACCAGTGCTGGCCTTTTCTCCTGGGGGGGCACCGGGGGGGCACCCTCCATAACTACTTCAGGGTGTTAGGGTTGACAAGAGGTCAGGGCTGGCTGGCTTATAAGAGGCTTGCCTTCTGCCTGTGGCTCCTGTGTGATGGAGGCTCAGGGTCGGGCCCTGCCCCGGGAGCAGGCACCAGGGCCATCAGTGCGAAAAGCCTGGACCTCCCAAGTGCTGGGCCCAGGGAGGGAAGGGAAGCTCCTGCTTTCCTGGCAAAAGTTTTCCAACCTTGCCCGTTCCATGGCTAATTAGCACCGGGTGTAGCCGCACTGCCTTAACTTCTGGTTAACTGTACTTGCACCCCTCCCCAGATGCATGTGTGCTACGTGGTCACCTCCTTGCGTGGCTGCTGGGTGCTGAGATGAAGGGGCATGGTTTCTCTGTGGAGTTCTGCTCTGCTTAGGGTTAAGGCCAGTACATTCTTTCTGCAGAGATTTTTCCCATGGGATTTCACCTCATTCACCAAGAATTTACTCGTAAATATTTGTTGAAGGCAGATAAAACATGGCTCTGTCACTTCCCATTTGCCCATGGTCTGTGGCCGGGCTTGGGTGGTGATTGCTGGAAGAATGCTTCCCAGATCACTAGTGACCCAGGAGGTCCTTGCCCTCCCTAGTCCAGTGACTCGTAGAACACTCACCCGATGCTTGTAATTTGTGAACGGGACACGTCGGGCTGCATTTTTTCCCCATGGTGTAGCTCCAGAAGCACCCTGACCGGGAAGGCATCCCTCTTTACACAGACCACTGCTGCTGACTCAGAGCAACTTCTAGGACAGAACAGAGGTACTGCCCCACAGGGCTTCCCGGGCTCTTTACAGTCATCTGGATGGAAGCAGACTGCTGACATCAGAGAGGCTGGTGGGTTCAAACTGATTAGCTTTCCGTGAGCAGCGGGCTGCTTAACTGCTGCATCCCCAGGGCTCCTAAGCCTGGTGTGTGGCCCTAGTAACTTCATAGCTGCTATACTAAGGAGGCTGCTATAAAAGGCTAACGGAGGCTCAATTCTGATGCCAGGGGTCTCTTCATCATCGACCCCAATGGAATCATCAAGCACTTGAGTGTCAATGACCTCCCAGTGGGCCGGAGTGTGGAAGAGACCCTTCGCCTGGTGAAGGCCTTCCAGTTTGTGGAGGCCCATGGAGAAGTCTGCCCAGCCAACTGGAAACCCAACTCGCCAACGGTAGGCTCGGTGTCCAAAAACCATGGGCTCAAGTGTTCAGAGGTGGCTGGCCTGGAGTGCCTGCATCACAGCCCTTCCTTGGAGCAAGATGCAGATGGTGTGGTGCTGGGTGGGACAGGCTTGGCTGTTAGGATGCTTGGGGGTGGGGGGTGGGGTACTCAGAACTTTCATCCATATATTTTCGAAGGAAGCAGACTTGTAACTAGCTTAAAAGTGAGACATTACTCTTCACTCTGGAGACTTAAAAAAGTCAACAGCTGCTTGACACAATGGATGGATGTATATTGGGATAAGAGTTGTATGGGCCCCCAAGAAAATGATTGGGGAAAAAAAGTGAACTACCCAATTTTTTCTCTCTTCAGATCAAGCCCAGCCCAACTGCTTCCAAAGAATACTTTGAGAAGGTCAACCAGTAGGTCCTCCCCAGCGCAACTGTAGTGCCAGAGAAGAGCCACATGCCGGAGCCCCCATGAGCATTTCAGAGATGATTGTTGATAGACAGGGAAAAAAGAAAAGGAGTCACTAGCTACAAATTTTGTTTTCACAACATTGGCTAAAGCGTCTTAAATACGGCTAGTTGTGAACATAAGGCGTCTTCTTTGTATCGTCTTGATGGCTTGCTAGAGTGCCTGTTTCCCCTTCTTGGATCATGTTTTCGTGGGAAAAGGACACGCTCGGCCTTCTTACTGTGACCTTTGTGCAGACACCCGCAGTAAGCAGTGCAACAAACTTCTTCTGATCAAGGTTCAGAAATTGTCTTTGGGAATTTCTTTGTATCAAACCCAACCTTCTTTTTAAGCAGCAAAGATCACAGCTTTCAGTGGTTAGCATCGGCGATCTTGAACCCTCGTATTGGACGTGTCTGTATGTGTTGGGAACCAATGTGAATCGTGTTTTGAAGAAAACACTTCTGGTGACCTCACTGATCCTGCACGATTCCCACCCCTGGATCATGTTCCATGATGATTTGACTTACTTTATTCATGAATTGACTGTCTGCAGATGTTGATTGGGAGGCTATTTATTGTGTCACAGATTGCATTTTGAAATCATTGTACTTATTCTCTCTCTTGAAGTGCTCAATGTAGAGTATAATAAAAATAAACATATTTTAAAAATATTAGGCCTTTTAAAATTAATCATTCTATTGGGGGGCTCTTACAAATCTTATAGCAATCCATCATTCAGTTGTATTAAGCACACTTGTACATATGCTGCCATCAACGTTTCCAAAATATTTTCTTTTTACTTCAACCCTTGGTATTAGCTCCTTTTTTTTTTACCCACCCTTCTACCATCATGAGTTCTTGATCAATTATATATTATTGTTATATCATGTCTTCCATTGTAGTATTAGGTGTTTTGACAGCAGTTTTTTTAACTTACATTCTGGGGCTATGTTTTTCCTTCTCTGGATGTACCAACAGTTGAGCATTTTACTTGGGGGCCACAAAAGGAGCTCAGTTTGGGGCATCACACAGACGTGAGAACATTTACTCTCCTACACCCACCCCCACCCCCGATCCTTGTGCCCATGTGCCAAGGACAAACCATAGAAAACCAATTCCCACCTTCATGTGGGGCATCCTAGAGAGGGGAACATTACCATAAAAATACATAGAATGTCTACAAAAAAAACAAACTCCCTCCATTGAGCCAATTCCAATTCATCTGACCCTACCAGACAGGGTAGAACTACCTTGTGGGTGTCCCAGACTATAACTCGCCCATGGAATGGCTGGTAGTTTCAAAACATGCTTAGAAGGAAAATAAAAAGCCAGGAGCTGATCCCAAGTGTTCCAGGCAGGCTTGTTGGGGAAGGAGCCCTAGTGGTGGTGTGGTTATGTACGCATGGTCAGCAGTTCAAAACCAGCAGCAGCTCCGAGGGAGAAAGACGTTTTTTCCATAAACAGAGTCTCAGAAACTCACAAGGGGTTGCTATGATAAAATGTAAAAGGAGGGGGAGGAAGTTAGGGGTTAAGGATCCCAGGCAGAGGGCCTCAAGACCAGAGCTGGTTTGGGGAGAACCCCCCGGGGGGGGGGGGGGGGGGGGGGGGGGGGGGGGGGGGGGGGGGGAGGGGAATAGTGGTACTGGGGCCAGAAGAACCTGATGGACACGTTAACATACTGGACTCCAGAGGGTTGAAGTCCACTTGTTACAGGAGGGCTACCCAGCTGGATTTGTCACACATGGACGGTAGAATAAGGTAAACTGAGTACCCAGGTGTGATGGAAGCACAGGACGGGGCACCCTCCCACTCAGCTTTGGGGGCCAGGAAAGTCTTGGAAGAGAAAGGTGCTTGTGAAAGCTAGGGAAATGGTGGTGAGAAGTCACACGGGGCTAAAGAAAACCAAGAGCAATGATCTGTGGTGGCAGGGCCGAGGCAGATTAGGGCAACGGCATGCTGAGCACTTCCAACGTGGCCAGTGCTCAATGAAGGATGCTGTTCCCTCTCATTGGCTCCTCAACAAAGCCATGTTATCCTTTTCTTACGGATGAGGAAGTGAATCAGCAGAAATAAAATGGCCCAGGGTCACGGCTACAGAAGTGGTGGTAATGGGACCCCACCCCAGGCCTCTGAGGCCCAAGGAGTCTAAACACATGACTTCCAAGAAGAGATCAGCTGTACACGCACAACCCCACTGGCCCCAATCTGGGAAGGACGTGAGGAGGGGGAAGGATGTGTCCTTCCCTACCAAATGGTCCCTGTTAGGGTTGGGACTCCACAGAAAGTACTGGACTTGTCCTCCCCCAGGCTTGATGGGGCCTTGGGCTTGTGTAATGCTCTGCCTCCCAAGTTCTTAAATGCAGGTTAGTGAAGGGCACGGCATCCATCTTCATTCTTGGCTAGTTGATAGAAGTATAGGTGAATGTTTATGCAGGAAATAAGATTCCCATTCCAAATGTCCTGCATGAATGTTTCCCGACATTGGATGTCCATGGTGTGTCAGCACTCCATCTGCCCTTTCCATCCATCTACTTGCCCTGCCCCTCCACATTCCTGACAGGTGTCACTGTGTACAGGTCAACTGAACAGTGACCTCTGGGAGTGGCTTTAGTTCCAGGTGAAAATAGTGTCTTAGGCACAGTCTTGGGGGTTCTTCTAGTCTGTATCAGTCCAGTGTGTCTGCTCTTTTTGATGAATTTGAGTTTTGTTCTACCTTTTCCCCCCATTCTCATTAGAATGCTCTTTGTAGTAGCAGGGCACCATCCAGGCCTTTTGGCCTCTGACTCAAGACTTTCAAGTGGGTTATTCGCCCTGTGGACCAATTTCTTCCCTGATATTTTGGTTTCCATCACTCCCTTCACTCCACATGGGAAGAGACCACTAGTTGTATCTTATTTAGCCACTCCCAGTCTTTAAAGACCTCAGACACTTTATTAAACCAGGATGACATCTTTGTGAACAAAATGAAGCCGACTGACCTAGTTGTCCCACAAGCCTATGGACCTTAGCCTTCCAACCCAGTAAATCAATCTCACAAGATTTAGCTAGGAAGTACTGTAAGTGTGCCCCATCTATGCTTTTCTATATGTATGAATATACATATACAGTACCTGTAAACAGCTGTATATGAAAGCTTGAAAAAGTTCACGGGAAAATCCAATGCAAAGACAATGCCTTTTTGTTATGGAGGTGTTGAAGTTTTCGCCGTGTTATAGAAAACAAGACTGACATACTTTGGGCATGTTGTCAGGCTAGATCAGTCCCTAGAAAAGGACACATATTTGGTGAAGTAGAGGGGCAGGGAAAAGGGGAAGCCCCTCATCCCCCACCCCAGCAAGACGGACTGACCTGCAGCAGTAGGCTCAAACATAAGAACAATTCCGGGGATGGCGCAGGCTGGGCAGAGCTTCCTCCGCTGTACCCGGGGCCGTCGCTGTGAGCCTGGACTGACTCCATGACAGCTAACGACCACAGCAGCAGCAGCAACAAAGACACCTGTCAGAAGCAGCATTACCGGAAATGCTTGCCAGTCCGTAGGTTCTCTTGTTACCCTTTTCGGAAAGTCTTGTAATGAGCATGAATACTTGATTTTTGGGAAGTCTCAGTTATCTAGTTTTATCTGGTGGTGTCTTTGCCAGGCTTCGGTGTCAGGGATTCACAGAATAAATGAGGTCCTATCCTTTCGTTTGCTACATTCTGGAATCTTTGGCGTAGAATTAGCGGCAACTCTTCTGTTAGTTGAACTCTCCCGAGAAGCCATCTGGGCTGGGCTTTGTTGTTGTTCTTGTTGGGAGTTTTGCTTTTTGTTTAGGACACCTTCGGTTCCCTCTCTGACTAGTCGATGTCGGTGGCTGACCTCTGTGGAGCTTTAGGTAGGTAGTGTGATCACACTTTCACTATTCACCGAGCCTACACATATCCTATACTGTGCATTCTGACCGTTGTGGGCAAAAGGACAGAGCCTCCACGCTAATATCCAAAGGGCGGGAAAACGCGGAAGGAGGCCAGGCGTGGCCGTGGAGGGAAGCCTCCTTTCGGTCGGGACAGTGGTTGGGGGGTCCGAGACTTGAGCCCCCTCCTAGCCTGGACGAGGCCGGACCTCCCCACCGGGCGGAGC